TATAATATTAATTTATTTAAAATATTACTATTATTTTTAGTATTCAAATAATGAATTTAGAAAAAAATTATTAAAGTAGATAATATTAGATGATCAAGCATTTACAGTACTTAAAAATCCTAAATTTCAAGATATGCTAAAATATTTACAACCTAATATTCAAATACCATTAGCTAATACTATTAAACAAGATTTGAATAAAAGTTATAAAAAATCTAAACAAGACATTAATCAAAACTTACAAGTAAAATTTTTAATAATTTTTATTTAAATTTTATAAAAAAATTTTAAAAATATTAATATATATTGTTAAAGGCAAAACAGATATCAGAGTTGCTCTAACCCAGTGCTGTCCCGACTCATGCCCTCTTACAGTAAGAACACCTCTGAAACAAGCAAATGATTGTGTATCAATTGTACTTTGAGAAACTTGGAAGCCAAGCCTCCATCTGAAACAATGCTGTAATGATGCAGAATCAGGTACTATAGCCATTTTTTGGGGTAGATCTGCCAGATTGGGCTAGTTGTTTGTGCCACATAAGGCCATTCAAGGTCCTGATCGTAATGATGGATCTGAAACCATTGAGTTCGATAGAAAAATATTAGATCTTGGGCCTCTGTGTCGTCTCTTTTTGTGGGGCATCATTCTTGTATATAAGTGCCTTTTTTTTTAGAAGGAGGAAAAAGAGAATTAGGATAGTCAACAATTGTATTAATAATAAAAAAAACTGTCATTAGCAATAAACTAAGACCTTGCACTCATGCCTTAGTTGTTCTGTCTCTTCTATGATGCAATGTTTCATGACATTTAGTATTCTTGAGTGACAATTCGTCACATTTTCCTTGCCCCTATTATTCCAAATATAAAACCATAAAAAAAAAACTAATCACCTTTAACAATATATATATAATATATAAACAAAAATTATTTTATAAAAAATATAAATAATTTTATTTTATTTTAAAATATATCAGAATCTTTTTCTTTTATATTAGATACTTGGACTAGTAAAAATCAAATACCTTTTTTAGGTATTTCAATTTATTGAATAAGTAATGAATGGAATTTGCAAACTATTGTATTGAATTTTTGTCATTTGTTTGGCTCCTATACAGAAAAAAATTTAGCTACTAAATTTTTAGAAGTTTTAAATAATTTTAATTTAAATTCAAAGGTAATATATTTTAATAATTATAATAATATTTAAATTTATTCATTTATAATTTTATTATATTTTGTTATTAGCTATTACAAGTGATAATGCTGCTAATATAAACAAAATATTACAATATATTTCAGCAAGCAATAATATTAATTTTGATAAAGATAATCAACATATTAAATGTTTAGCTCATATTATAAATTTATCTGCTAAACAATTAATTATCTTTATATTAAGTATGATTTTGATAATGATTTAGAAAATTTAAAAGATAAAGATCCAGAAAAATTAAATAATATTATATTTAAAGTAAGTTTAATAAATTATTTTCCTTAATACCAAAAAAAATAAATAAATTATTTTTAAATAATTAATAATAATTTTATATTAATTATATATATATTTTTTAAATTAGTTAAAAAAATTTATAGTTAAAATTTGAGCATTACCTCAATGATGAGAAAACTTTATACAACAATGTATTAATACTGAACTTACACTATTACAACTTATTTTAGATAATAATACTAGATGGAATTCAACTAATTTAATAATTGAAAGAGCTTTATATCTTTAAAAAGTAATTTTTTAAATTATTATTTTTTTTTTCAGTATTAAGATGACCTCTTTGGTCTGAGCTTTTTATTAATACTTATATCGGGTACATGTTTATATAAACATATCTATAATGAACTATTAGATGAGTGTACAACTGGCTACATGTGTAACTTTTCTATATTACCTATTTAAGGAG